CATGTGAGGGACACATGTGAGGAGGCTCCAGAGAAAGGCAAGGAGGCCACCAGAACCTTTGGAAAATCATGGCAGTTCAGGCTTCTGACTCTCAGCCTTCAAAAGGCCAAATTCCATTTTTACCACTTAATTTAACCCCAGGTTAATCCAATATGGAAAGAATGACCCAGGTAGACTAAACTCACAATAGACTGAGCTATACATCTCAGAATGCATTGAACTGAATTTGAAATGAGAATTAGAACTGTCTGGTTGACCGACCTTGTCTCAGTGCATTTTCTTCCTGAAAATAATCTCCACAAGAGGAGAAAAGACAAGAAGTTTCTACAGAGTGTGGAGCAGAACAAGAGGAGTTAGTGATAGAACTTAAAAGTGTCATGGGGTCAGGCTCTGGGAGTCAGTCCAGCAGCCAAACCTTACAGAGCAACCCGTGGCTGCCAGCAGACCTCCCCTTCCCCAGGCTGGCCTGGTGCACCAGCCCCCCACGAAGGTTCTTTTCTTTCCCTTTCATAATGTCAGGACATTCCACTGGGTTACGCTGAGGTCCTGGGGCCCCAGAAGCCAACTCTCTTCTCGGTGGCTGCCCATCTCTACTTTTACACATTACAGACTTATTTTATACTTTACCCCAAAGGGCAACTTCATTGCAAATGCTTGAGGAACTATTTTCCCCATGTCTTCTCCATGAGTCAGGCTCAAGTCTCACACTGATCACCCAGCGTGTAACAGACCCATCAGTGAGCCAGCCGTTCTGTTTACACGACAGAGTCGACTCTACCCAAGTGTCGCTGTGGGGGTCACCTCCTCTCCTGGCTGTTACTAGAAGCCATATCTCTTTTCTACGTGCCTAATCACTGGCCCATGAAGAGCCACCCGGTAACTCCATCCAGACATTACTACACATCCTGTGTGGATACACATCTGCTTTGATACTCACATGCACACTCACGTGCTCACTTGGCCCTCAAGGCTGTGCAGCCAAGACCCACTCAGAAGCAAGCACAACGGCGGCCAATGGTTCCAGATCCACGGCTTGTGATCATCGATCTGTTCACCAAGACAATCATTGTGGAAGCTCTGACACAGGCTCTGACTTGAGGAAACACCCTCCACCCCCAGATGATCAGTTGCAGGTGGGGAGGAGCAGGATCCTGAGACTCCTTCCTGAGCACTAACCCTGGAGGTCTGGCACCTGCCCCGGGAAACCGGAAGGCGCCTCAAGCTCAGGTGTGCTGCTCTATGAGGGGAGGGGGTTTGGCACGCGGGCCAGGTCCTTAGGCTTCTTGTCTTGAATGAACGAAGGCAGGAGGGAAGGAACACCTTTACAAAAGGCTCCTGGTTGTGACCAACTTTACAACAGGCGTAACTGCAAACATGAGAGTAAGCAGTATTGAAATGAAGGCAAATACTGGTGCACAGACTAGTATTTCTCTCACACAAAACCTCAGCAATTATGACACGTCTTAGCAGAGACGTGGCTTTTCTTTCTTGCAAGTCAGACCCCTTCAGGGCTGACTCGTTCAGCAAGGCTTTGCGCACCCGAGGCCCTAGCAGGGGTCCCCAGCCAGTATCACCTGCTTTCTGTCTCCCCAGTCCCTCTCCTTGGTCAAAAATCTTTAATTGGCTGGTTACCATAATTACACGAGTGAGGGACCCTGTCTGTTCTCCTTCCCTGCTCCTCGCAGGGATCGGAAGGCCCACCACTTCTATGCCAGAGAGACCTATCGCAGCTTCTGTCTGCCTTTCTGTTTTTCCCTTTCATGATCAGAACAACAACAACAAAAAAGCCTGGGGAAGAAATCATCTCTCCTTCTGTGTCTGGATAAGACCCTGTAACTCTCTTTTCCCAATCAGGAGCAAGTTTCCATGACAACCATGCTTCCCGGTGCCACCGCTAACTTAGCAGGTAGCGTTCACATCAAATAGGGAGTTCTTTGCCAACCTCTGTGGTTTCTGTACTTCACCATTGCTACAGACCTCTGACGCACCAGACGTCTACAAAAACTGCACCTTAAAAAGGTTTTGTCCTTTTTCTTTCTAAACATCAGAAAGACCAAAAAAATTGCTCAGTATTTTCCAGACACTAATCATTAAAAAGCCTACCAATATACTCAAACGTACACATGAAAATGTGTGGAGGGAAGCTTGCATAGATGAATGGAGGATGGCTGGGACATGATGACAGTCGGGTGACTTACACCATGGTCAATGGCATCAGTTTTGAGTTGAGAGCTAATGAGGTTGGGAGACATGACCTTGGGCAAATTACTTATCCCCTCTGAGCCTCAACACTCTCTCTGTAAAAGACAGAAGCTGAGACACTTCATGGCACTGTTTGGAAGATCAGATGGAAAAAAGCAAAGATGCACAAAGTGCTTATCACACATAGTAGGGCTTCAACAAAGGGCACTTATCATGTGGCTCTTGCTACAGTGAAGAGCTGAATGGGAGCGAGTCTGAACAAACAAGCAATCACAATACTCTAACTGATGATTAGCAGCTTGCTGGTGGAGAGTAACAGAATAAGCAGTAGGTACCTGGAGGTTTTCTTAGCAACCTTTTCTCTCAGGCTATTAAGCCTTGTCTGCAATTACAGGAAGGAATCCATTAATTTCGATTCTTAAGACTGAAGAGGCTACACCTGGGTAATCTCCAGGGTTCATCTGACTGCATTAATAGCTCTGCATAAGCATTTGTTTAATTTTAAAACAGAAGCAAAGAAAAAAAAAAGGATTAACCACTAAAGTATTGGTTCGATATTCCACATTCTCAACATCAGAATATTTCCATTTTTCTCCAGAAGCAAGAAAAACAAGTATATGTATACTTTTATGATAATTTCATCGTTGCCTAGTTCAAATTTCGTCTCAGAATCAGAATTTACATTGTAGCAAACACGCCAACCTGCTCACTATTGAACAAACTCCAGTTCCTCCCTCACCTTCATTCACAGCACCCTCCAAGAGCAGAGAGGGTCTTCCACAAGTAACACCAATTCAAACCTTTATTTTCAAAAGATAAAACAATTTATATGTTTTTAAAATCCCATTTCTGTCAATGTGACAGACTATATATCTAGATAAACTCTCCCTATTAAGAGCTCCTAAGATCGTGAATAACATACTCTTATAAAAGAAAGACATGTCTTACAGTAACGATGTGCCTCAAAAAATTAAAAACAGAACTATCGTATGATGCAATAACCTCTCTTCTCGGTATATATACAAAGGAAATGAAATCTGTATCTTACAAAGATACCTGCACTCCCAGGTTCACTGCAGCATTATTCACAACAGCCAAGGTGTGGAAACAGCCTGTGTCCATCAACACAGGGATAAAGAAGGTGTGGCATGTATACCATGGAAGATTATTCAGCCTAAAAAATGAAGGACATCTCGCCATTTGCAACAATATGGATGAAACTGTAGGACATTATGCTAAGTGAAATAAGCTAGACACAGAAAAAAAAATACTGCATGATCTCACTTTTATGTAGAATCTAAAAAAATTAAACTCACAGAAACAGAGAGTGGAATGGTGGTTACCAGGGAAATGGGAAGATGTTGGGCAAAGGGTTCAAACTTTCATTTACGTGAGATGAATTAGCTCTACAGGTATGATGTGTAGGATGGTGACTGTAGTTAATAATACTGCATTCATTGTACACCTGAAATTTGCTAAGAGAGATCACGGGCACTCTCGTCACAGAAATGAAGTCTGTGAGGCAGTGGGTATGTTAATTAGCTTGACTATTAGTAATTATTTCACTGTGTATATAGAAACATCATGTTGGGCACCTTCAATATGTACCATTTTTATTTTTAAAATGAAAAAAAAAGTTTTTAAAAGAGAAAAATAATGTGTTTGAAATGTTACCGGAGCTGACAGAAAGGTAAAGGAAGTCCTTAAATGCTGGAAACAAACAGCAAAACAAAACAAATTCCAGAGAGGTTAGCTTGTATTTGAGTGAGAATTTGCCCTGGGGGGCATCTGCCTGTCCTGGTCAGCAAATGTTTTTCCATAAAGGGCCAGATCATAAATATTTTTTGCTTCACAGGCCATACAGTGTCTGTTGCATCCACTCAACTCTGCCATCGTGGCATGAAAGTATTCACAGGTAACATAAATAAACAGTCATGGCTGTATTTAAAAAAAAACCCGTCTTTATATAAACAGGCAGCAGGAAGGATTTAGCCTGCGAGCCATAGTTTGCCAGTCCCTTCATGATAGCCTGGTTTTCAATGTCTTTCCCTCAAGAAAACAATAAATATGACATATCTGTCCCAGGTGATAGATTGTTGTGGTGATGTTCCCAGTTTCTTCCCACCCCCCGTACACCTGCTTTAGAGGAGTCCCTCCCACACAGACTCTGGGCTAGACCACGTGATTTGCTTTGGCCAATGTGATGACAGTAAATAGTTCACAGAGACTTGAAAGGTGTTAGCAGAATGGTGCTTGTCCTCTCTTACTGCTCCTGGATCTCCACATCCACCGTCAGGTAAATTCACCCAGGCCAGTGTGCCAAAGACACGTGGTCCACCATCCCTACTGCCCCAGCCAAGAGAAAATGGCCGCCAGGCAGCAACCACCAGGTGCATGGGTGAAGCCATGGAAGCCCACCCAGCCCCCAGGTAACCCACCAGGTGACTGAAGTCACACGAAACAACCGGGAAGAAACCAGCAGAAGAACTACTGAGCTGGGCTCAGTCTAAGTCGCTGACCCACAGAATCATAAGGTAATAATGACTGTCTGAGCGATTTAAGTTTCGGGGTGATTGTTCTGCAACGGAAGCGAGATGATACATTCCACAGGAAGTCTATTATCTTCCAAAAGCATAAAGTGAAAGGCCAACAGGTATACTTAGAGAAATGGGCAAGAGAAGACTGAGAAAACACCAAAAAAAAAGAAGAAAAATTATTTCCATTTTAAAGATCCTGTCACCTGCCAGCAGGGACAAGTCCGTCCTTATTTCTTACACGATGGAGCAGATTCTTCCTACCTGAGCAGACTTCTTTATAAGTAGGATTGGGAGTGTAGCCTCCAGCGTAACCAACTTGAGTTGAATATACTCCTTTCAGGGTCCAGAATTTCCTTTCAGCTCCCCAGAAACAGCCCATTCCTAAGAAAAACATATGACAGTAATTAGTCCTTTATGAAAAACGAACTGGTCATTGAATATTAGAAGTCCTGTTACACTGGAGAAGAGATGTCGTTCTTGGTAAATAAAAACGACTAAGGTTTTATTTTCTAAAGAAGTAGCGTTTCTAACACTGAGAAAGGATTTTAGGTTATTTTCACAGAATGCCTCTTTGCTTTAGCTGTACAAAAACTTTAAGAGCCTCAAACTTTAACGGAGTTAATAAAGCTATACCTTTTGAAATAATTTAGGAAAAGGATAACTGGGTTTGATGAATGATTTCCACACTCAATACATTATGGACTTCTCAAAACATAGTAAGTGGTGGGAAAGGTGGGAATTTATTTAGTGATCAGCATCCTGGTCATGCTTTAAAAAAAAAATTCTAACAAAGAAAAGTAATATTAAATCTGATTTAAAAGGGAAAATTTCCTCAAATTAAAACCGATCGGCATGGTAGTTGATAAACAATTTCACATATGTGCTTAGTTTTTTAAAATGTTTTAAGTCTTTAGAAACTTTCATGTGATAAATCTCTGCTCATCAAAAAAAAAACATTTACACAACATTGTAAAATGATTATAAATCAATAAAAAATGTTTAAAAAAACATTTTTCTGAGTTTGATTACCGAGTATAATGAATAAGGAAAGAAAAGGGGGAAGGCAGGGGAAGCAGGAAAGAAGAAACAACAAAGAAACTCACAAAAATAGCATTCCATTCAACTAGCAAACATTGTGCTTGTATCAGTGGTTAGTTATTGGATTCCTTTGAACATATGATGAAAACTAAGACCCATCTCCCAAGATTGCACATGTTTACACACATTGAAAATGCTGCATTACATTTCCCGAACTCAAAAAAAAAAAAATCTTCATTTTCTACAGTGAGTTTCTAAACTGTCCACAACTGCTATTCTGTGGCCAATTTCTAGATGTAAACAAGATTACTGCCTCACTCACGTTTCACATGGCTTTATTAAGTCATACATAATTAAGATCTTGGGTGGAACAACAGTTGGCAAATTAACATATGCCTCCTACTTCAACAATCACTAGGTTTGTTCGACTCCATGACAGAGCAAAAGAAAAATTAGAAGTTTACTGAAATTCTTGACACTTGCTAATATTTTAACTTTAAAAATTCAGAGCAACAACAACCAAAAAGAAATACGCACAACGTTATACATTATACAAAAATGTAATTGTTCAAATGTGAGGGGAAACAAACTAACCAAATATAGGGTAACAGTTAAAAAATGCAACAAAGCCCGGTGACAAAATTTAACGCAGTTAAAAAAATTACCATTGTGATGACAATGTAGCACGGAAATGGGTATGTGATTATATGATAGTTACTCAAGGTGAAATTTAAAATGGAAAAATACAATTATATGTATTTTTCACAACTATGAAAAAATATTCATACCAAAATAGGAAGAAACAGACAAAATCATAATCATGATTGTAGTACTGTAGGGAGAATATACACACATTTTTTCAGTTTTCAAGTTTTTCTGTAATAGGGTCATATTACTTTAAAAACAAAAAATACATACTTTTTTAAAGGAAAGCAAAAAATTCAAAGGTAAGTATATGCGTTATTTGAGTTACATACTGCTAGATACCATTTCTCCTGTTCACAAGTGAATTGTTTGCTGCTAGTGAATGTAACTAAGTATTTACTGAGTATTTCTAAAAATGGACTATCCTCAAGCCTCTGGAATAAGGATTCACTATTAATTTTACTTCATTGTGTTCCCGGGATGCGGGAATTATGTCATCAGGGTTTTCCAGAGAAACAGAACCAACAGGATCTATACAGATATACAGAGAGAGGTTCATTATGAGGAGTCGGCTCCCACAACTATGGAGGCCGAGAAGTCCCAGGGTCCACGAGCCTGCAGGCTAGAGACTCAGGAAAGGCTGCTCTACAATTCTAGCCCAAACCCAAAAGCCTGAAAACCCGGGGGACCAACGACCTGATTCCCAGTGTAAGTCTGAAGGCCTGATAACCAGGATCACGGATGTTCAAGGGCAGGAGAAGATGGATGCCCCAGCTCAAACAGAGAGAACAAATTCACCTTTCCTCTGCCATTTTGTTCTCTCCAGGTCCTCAGTGGACGGGCTGGCGCCCACCCACCTTGGTGAGGGTGAGCTGCTTTCCTCAGTCTGCCAGTTCAAACACTCATCTCTTCCAGAAACCCCTTCACAGACACATCCAGAAATGATGTTTGACCAGCCATCAGGACATCCCTTAGCCAGGTCAAGATGACACCTAAAATTAACCATCACAGGAATGATGACAGGGAATCTCTGGAGAAGGGCAGGTAAAAGGTGATCTGCACAGCATTACTGAACATAAAAGGCCACAAAGACATCCGGGAACCAAGCAGAAGGCACGCTAGCCCCTGAAGATCAGAAATCTGCGGGATCCACAAAATGAACCATTTCTGTATCTCATGATGACAGTGAAAGAGCATTGCATGCCTGCACCAGTCTCCACACATGGGACGTAACAGGCTATTTTAGCAGCCAGCCTACCCTGCCCACTGTCTACAGTCCCACACAGACTGCATCTTCACTATATCCTCATGATGTAGGTTTATAAAACTTAGGGTGACCAAACAAAAATTTACTGCAAGTGGAGAGATTATTTAACCCCCTTTTATGTTTAATAGAGACCAGGAAAAGATTTCTGACAGAAGGGAGAGTGAACCACTCCAGCTAGGCAAAGGTCTCCAAGGGGGGCCAGGAGTGGCTGAAATAATGCAGAGACCTGGTGTACACCCAACACCAAAACTTCTAGAAAGGCACTTACCCTAGGATAGGGGCTTTTATAAGAATACAACTCTTTGAAGCAAGACTTATTGCCTTATAAAGCTTTTATTCTTATATCTAATGGCATCCAGTATAATCTAAGCATTCTGTTATTTGGTTTTGAGTGTGTGTGTGTGTGTGTGTGTGTGTGTGTTTAAACAAAGAAGGGTTTATTTAAGGCAGTTTCTCAGAACTTACAACAGTCTAGTAAACAAGATGAATATCATCAAAGAAGATGTAGTTTGCACTATTTTATTTAAATTCTTGTATATTTTAATCTTTTATTATAAAGTAAAACAGATGAAGAAAAACCACACAAAACAAATGCATAATTCAATGTATTATTAATATGTGAACATCCTAGGAGTCAGCACCCAGGTCAAGACTTAGAACTTTGCTGTCCACCCCGTAACCCCTCCTTGTACCACACCCCATCACAACCCCCTTCCTCCCCCCAAAAGTAACCACTATCTGACTTTTATAGTAATCACTTCCTTATGTTGCTTTATATTTTTATCATTCAAGGTATCGATCCTGATGCTAGAGTTTGGTCTTGCTTGTTTAAAAAAAATTGATAAATATTTTAAATTCTTTCAATTGACAGGTTCCCCCACCATACTTTTCCTTTTAATTTATCCATTGACGAAAACATGAGCCGCTTGATCTGAAGAATTTCCCATAGTGTGGATTTTGCCAGTTGTGTTTTCATGGTGCAGTTCAACTTGCTCCTCTGTCCTCAGTATTTCCTGCACATTTGCACATTCTAGATATTCTGAGAAACCATAGTGCCAGTTTATGGAGAGCTCAGATCTTCCTTTGAGGCTTCTAAAGTGGAAACTCAATGACGATATGGATGGAAAATGTAGTGCTGAACTAAGAAAGAAAAAGGTTCTTATTTCACTTGTCTCTTCGCTCAACCAAATTCCTGGGTTGCTGTAGACATGCACTCAGAAGCACTGAATGTGGTCTGTTTCTACCAGGTCTATATGCTGAAACCCTACCTATGCGGCCTCAGGGAACTCTTGAAGTCTAAGTTTCCTCATTTGTAAACTAGGAATAGAAATAATACTAACCACAGAGTCACTGACAGGATTTCATGAATAACAGAGAAAGTGTCAAGCATACAGCAGTTACTCAATAAGTGTTCATTCCCATTCTCTTCTCTCACTTTCCCTGCTTGCTCCACCTTCCTCCTCCCAACACACACATGCACACACTCAAAACTCCTTCTCTCAGTCCATCCAAGGTCGGAGATGCTTCTCTGTCACCCTTGGTCTCTGAGATGTCACACTGTCCTGTGGGAGAACCTGAGAGTCATCCCTCTGATCCCAAATGAAACAGACCGCTTTGCAATCTCATACACAGCCTCTCTGGATTCAGCCAGAATTCTCAGAATTTCTCTGAACCAGTCTCTCCATTTCCTGACATATAAGTCTCTGGTTACCACTCAATTCAGAAAACTCTCTAATAGCTACTTCTCAACTCACCATTTTTTTAAAAGCATAATATCTCTTCCCATATCTGCCTTCTCGCTGCCTCCTTCCTGCCTGATGTCACTAGCCAGGTGTCTGTCAACAAAGAATGCCAGCCTCACTGCAAGATGTGTGGCTCTTGGTCACTCAGGGAGGTGTTTAAAGCCTCAATGACTCATCTGAAACATGAGTAGAACTGAATTATTTCTAATACCCAGCCTGATCATTGAATGGTCTGATGTCCCTCTGGACAGAGTAATAGGGAGAACTGAAAGCTATTTTCCTCTTTTCTCCTCAACTCTAAATGTGACTTTGTGACTGTGATCAGTGAGCAAATAAAATATCTCCTATAAAAGGTACATAACCTGGCATCCTTTTCCTTATGAGAGAAGAAGAAAGAGGACAAAAAGGAAGGGAAGAGGAAGGTACAAAGGAGTTTACATTTATCAAACGCCGCTGTGACCCCCACATTGTATTAGCATCTTTGTACACACGGAATCCCTCACTAACCCAACTAGGAAGATGGTATTAGCCTCACTTTCAGGGTCAGAAAATGGAGGTTCAGAGAGGTCAAGTTACTTGCCCAAAGACACAGAACCAAGGCAGACCTGGGAAGCTGACCCATGCCTGCCTGGGATGTGAAGCTGGTGCTCTTCCCACCTGCCACGCTGCGCGGTAAGCTGTGGCGAAGT